GATGGATGAATTACATGATCTCTAAAGTCCCTTTCAACTCTGTATTTTATGACTCTGGGATGGCATAATTTGTAGCTCAAATATTTGAAGACATGTTATACTTTATTTTGGGTGACTTCTGTTTCTCTACATTTAACTTTCACCGTGATGAAATTGAAAAGCAAATTCAGAAGGTGTCAGCTTTTTCTATCCGTCTTAGTCCCAATCTAAGAATCTCACTAACATCTCTTAGTACTCTATCAATGTTAACAGCACTTCAAAGTCTATTAACTGTGAGACTGGATACACACATAGTTATAATTGATTTGTACCTGTCTCCCTGTTCCTGTCCCTCTCTCCCACTCTCCCTCCTACTCTTTGTCTCTCTTTCTTTCTCCCTTCCTCCCTCTTTCCCCTTCCTTCTCTTCCTCTCCTTTCCCTCCATCCCTGAATATTCCCCTCTTCCTCTGGTGCTTCCATCACTGTTTTACCCTAAGCTTATTTTGCAGTCATAGTCCCTCACTCTCCTTTTTTTTTCTCTTGCTTCTAAGACCTACCTGTATTTACAAACTAATATGTTATAAGATAAAAGATGCACTAACTACACATTGCAAATTGCTTTATCAAATTGAATCTGAACCAACAACAGTGACAGTCTGTCAAAGGCAATTTCTGGTGGAAATATGGTTGTGTATAGAGGATAATCAAATAGTCAATTGATTCAGGTGGATGTTGGAAAAAGAAATAATTAAATTGGATGGAGATGACTTCTTTCATGTTTAAATCTTTGATCCTATGATTCTATACGATGTATCACAGACCTAAAGCCTGGGGATAAGGCTGAATTTTTCACTTTTCAGTTGCTTTGTTATATTCATTTTTGTCCACGTGTGCTTACATCAGAGTACGGAGCTCCTAATAAGGAAACTGCCTTTACTAATGTGGAACTGTACGGACTCTGAAAATTATAGTCTTAGAGAACTGCCTGGGAGCACACAAAAATTGAGGTTAGACACAACTCTCAGACTGCCCTCTAAGCAATACAATTCTGCCTTTCAGTTTATTATCTTGGTGTAATATAGTTAAAGCCTTCATATAGAATCATATAATCTTGATTTAATTTAAAATTTAAAATGACCTTAAAGGATAGCATTTATAAAGACCTGAAGATGACTGACCCGCATTGTTCCTGGAGCACTACGGTCATTGAGGTAGACAGAGAGGACGAGGCCCTGGAAGTCAGACCATATTCTCCACACTACCACACACAGTCATCACCAGCAGTCTTAATTACGCTAGAAGTAATCAGAGCAGAAGCCAAAGTAGAAACAGACGCCCAAGGAGACATGAGCAACACAAATCAAGCTCTCTCCCCTAATATCTATTCAGGAATCATCTTATTTAACCCTTTCATGTGCCACATCTCTATTTTACTATTCTCTCCACCTCAGTCTGCAGATACCTCAACCAACATATGTTTACGACACAAGGCTTAGGGCAGCTAGGTGGCATGGTGGATAGAGTGCTGGGCCTGGAGTCAGGAAGAACCATCTTCCTGAGTTCAAACATGCCCTTGGACACTTACTAGCTATATGGCCTTGGGCAAGTCACTTAACCCTGTTTGCCTCAGTTCTTCATCTGTAAAATGAGCTAGAGAAAGAAATGGCAAACCTTTGCCAAGAAAACCCCAAACGCGTCATGAAAAGTCAGACACAAGTGAAACGACTGAATAACAGAAACATTAAGCTTGCATCAAGTCACTCCATGTTCAAGACTCTCTTCCACTCAGCTGTCAAAATGATCTTCCTAAAGTATGCATCTGACAGTGTCACCCTCCTATTCAATAAATTCCAGTGACTACCAATTGCCTCCAGTATCAAGTGAAAAATCCTCTGGTTATGAAGCTCTTCTCAGCCCCAATTTCTTCATCTACAAAGTGCAAATAATTCTGTTGCCTTCATCTTGCAGGGTTGTTGCAAGGTCCTGTGTGATAATGTCTATAAAGCACTTTATAAAACTTAATGGTGCTCTATGAATGCTAGATGTTATTACTATTATTTTAATATATTTTGTGGCAGTAATTCTCAGAAAGTCCAACTTCCCTTAGTAGTACATATGTCTCCTTCCAGTTTGCTTTTTTTCCAGGCTTTATCTTCCATTGCTATATTGCCCTCATGTCAGATAACTAACAATCCATGGAATGTTATCACAGTTGTCACTATGGAAAATTTGAGGATGGAGGAAGGAGTTTAACAGCTAGTGGCTTAGAGAAAGTTGACCAGTTCTACGGCCTTGAACTCACACCTGTTCTTGTGCCGGCCTACCTCAGCAGTGTCTGGTTTCTAATGCTAAGAATCCTCTAACATTTGTAAGAAGTGGTAATTTGGCCTCTTTTCAAACCCTCCCAGTGATGGGGAACTTAATGCCTAATTAGTAGGCTATTCCATCTTGGGGAAATCTTGTTCACTGTGCAGTTCTTCCTCATTTTGAACTGAAATCTGCCTCTTTGAAATGTCTGGTGAATGGGTCCCAGATCTACTTTCTGGAGCTTTAGAATATGGAATTTTCTTTATCCATGATAGCTCTCAACATATTTCATGACAGCTGTCTTGCCCACTAAAACTTCTTTTTTTCTTTTTTCCATATTGAACATTCTCTACTTTCTCATAGGAGGAAGCCAGTAGGAACAGTGGCTTAGACTCAGGAAACCATGCTGCCTCAGACATTACGATCCTGGGCAAGTCACTTAACTTTTGTCTTCCTCAGTTTTCTCATCAGTAAAATGAAGTCTCTAAAGTTCTTTCTAGCTGTAACCCATGATCCTATGATCTGGTTGTCTGCACCCCTCACCATCCTTTTTAACCTCATCTGGATGTGCTCTAGTTTATTAATAGTGCTCTTAAAATACTACACTCAGAGCTAAATACAATGATCCAGATGTAGTCTGACAAGAACAGCGTAAAACAAATCTGGACCACAATGACTATTTTGGCAGATATGTTACCCTGATGACTTGGACTGATCTCAGAATCAACTTTTTTTTTTTTACACAAACTTGTTTTTGTTACCTATCTGATAATTGGGCAGTTATTATTATTATTTTTTTTTACAGCAGTGAAAGACATCATGTTGTTCTTTATTAAATTTCACTTGTCCAGGTTCAGACTAAATTTCCTTTGGCTCATTCCAGACAAAATGAGATAACATGTAAATCACTTTGCAAACTTTGAAGTTATATGTACACACTAGTTATTATTACAGCCTGACAAAAATCTTGTTGAATCTGGATTCTGTCATCTAAAATATTAAGTTTTCTTCCTAGTTTTTAGTGCTATACCCAAATTTTATAAATATGCATTTTATGTATGTAAGTTGTAAAAAAAAATCCCTAAAACAGGAAATTCTTATTACCATCTGTGTCTTCACTAAGTCTCCTTCCTTGACCACTTTGAGCACCTCTTTTCAGTCTACCCAAATCTGATCTTTCCTTTATGTCCCTGAGTCTCTATGAAGCTTTTCTAGTTAGCCTTCATTGTTCCATCTTCCCCTGAATTCCTATAGCACTCATAGTCTACGCTGCTTAATTTAGTTTCTGATTGTATTTTATTTTGTATATTCCACTGCTCTTCAGAAATGTTAGTTTTCTCTTTTCTTGACTAGATTGTAAGTTCTTTGAGGTGAGGACCATAAAATCTTAGTATCTCACCAAAGTACTCGAGCACATATTAAATGCTCAATAAATATTTGATATTTCTCCACTCATGGTTGATCATAAATCTCATTTGTTTATACAGGATGACATTGTTATTGATATACAATATGCATATAACACATGTAAGAAATGACAAAAACTCAGAATAATCCCAAAGACCCAAACATTAAATACAACACAGACCTCAAATTCATAACTGAACTTTGCCCAGACATAAATGATAAGCCTCTCTACCAAGGCCTACCCAGTATATTGGGACGTGGTAAACTAGATATTTAAAAAAAATCTGGATAATTTAAGTAGCAGGAAAGCAAAGTCAGAAAGAATTAATGTGATTCTCCAAACTGAAATTTTGTTGTCTTCCCTCTACATGAAAGCTCCTAAAACAAACAAGCTTTTCTCTCAGATTAGCCTGTGTGGAAAATCAATATTGAAAGTATGCATTTGTTAGCAAAGGAACGACCATTATTTCAGCTAATAATAAGGAAGCCCTGCAGTATGTTTGTGAAAATAGAAATAAATGGCAAGGTTCATTAGCTTAAAATTATGAGATATATAATTTATAATCAGATCAATATTTCATGGAATACTAGTTAACATAAGACATTTTGAAAACATCATAAAATGTTAATAATGAACATTAGACTTCACTCTGATATTCCACTATTAAATCTTAGAAGAGCAGAGAGAGCAATATAGGACATGAATTAGTATACTAATAATTAACACATTTCCAGTGCATTCATTTGCATATTTTGAGAAAATTCAAACCACAGATGCACATGACTGTAAGAATAGAATGCAATGCACAGTCCACTCCAAAAGAACAATGCCAGTCACAAAAAACACATTGCCATATGTGCATGGATACTTATAGTTTCACAGTGATGGATACAATTTTTTATGATGAAGATGACACAAAGATGAATATTGTGAGACACTGGAGAAGAACTCTAGGGTAGGCTATGAAATATTCCTTCCCTATACGTCAATAGAAGGGGAAATTGATGTTTGTCAACTGGCACTCCCTTAGGGAGCAAAAAGCAACTAACCATATTTAACTGAGGCAAAGCTTGTAATATAAAAGAACAAGGGAGAGAATGCTGCAATCTTTGTAATTTTGCTCTGTGCGTGTGTAATATGTGTGCCCACACACATGTGCATGCATGCATTCATGATGCATTTTGGGATGTATAGCACATCACATTACGGCTAAGTAAAGGCTAGAAGAATCATCTGCTAAGGATAATTCCAGCATTGCCGATGATTCATGTAATATATGTAACTATAAAATGCTAGGTTTACTCACCTTTGGGAGAGAAGCTCTGGATCCTGAGCTTTGTGTGGTCATAGTCAGCACAGTTGTTATCCCCAAAGCTACCCTGGCTGGAGCTGCATCCATGTTAATCCAAAATGAAACCCAAGACAGTATAACAATCAGGAGACTAGGTATGTACATCTGGATCAGGTAGTAGCCCATCTGTCGTTCGAGGTGGAAACGGACTTCTATGCATGTGAACTTTCCTAATGATGACGAAAAACACACATTCATTTTCACATGAACATATCTTTGTCATATCAGCTATTAAGTAGATTTTTCTTATATGAAATAATGTAATGTTTCCTACTAAAACCATGGTGTCATAGCCTATTACTTTTGTTCATCATGTTAAGACAGGAAGGAAACACTAGATAATATTTCCTAATGGAAGTAGCCACGAGGGAAGGGAAGAGAATTAGCATTTATATAGCATCTCCATATGCCAGGTACTGTGCCAAGTGCTTTTTTTATAAAGATTATCTAATGTGATTTTCATAAAAAACCCTTTGAGGTAGGTGCTATCATTATTCCCATTTTACAGTTGAGAAAACTGAGGCAAACGGAGGTTAAGTGATTTGCTCAGGGTAACACAGTGTATGAAGCCAAATTTGAACTCATTTCTTCAGGTCCAGCACTCTATTCACTGTGCTGTTAGCTGCCACGAGGCAGTTTTGATTGTATGATGTGTTGATAGAATCCATTTGTCCAAAACTCTGTGGTCAAGGATATTGGTCACTCTGTGCATGAGCTGGGTCCAAAGTTATAAAATGGACAAAAGATTGTCAATTCATTGTACCATTTATCAAGTGCCAATTATTTGCTAGGCACTGTGCTACTGGCTTGTTCTTCCGAGACAAAAATGAAACAATCCTTAACTTCAAGAAGCTTATGTTCTACCGGGTGAAAACATAACTATATGTCAAACAGTTTGCGGGGGGAGGGCACCAGGAAAAGTGGAAAGCTGGAGTATATGAGTGTGAGTTGGATTAAGATTAGGTGAGTTAGAGGAAGGCAGGAAGCTGGGGGTGTGTGCATGTACATGTGATTGTGTTTGCATTAGAGATGGGATTATGTGGCTCTTAACCTAGGGTTAACAGTAGAGGTGAATGGTTTATCTTGCTCTAGGCTACAATACCAGAATTGTCCTCAGTGGACTTGGGGCCAGAAATAGGGTTGAGTTGGAGGAAAACAGGGCTTGGCACAATTTCTTTTTCTTTCTTTCTTTCTTTCTTTCTTCTTTCTTTCTTTCTTTCTTTCTTTCTTTCTTTCTTTCTTTCTTTCTTTCTTTCTTTCTCTCTCTCTCTCTCTCTCTCTCTCTCTCTCTCTCTCTCTCTCTCTCTCTCTCTCCCTCCCTCCCTCCCTCCCTCCTCCCTCCCTCCCTTCCTTCCTTCCTTCCTTCCTTCCTTCCTTCCTTCCTTTCTTTCTTTCTTTCTGGTGAGGCAATTGGGGTTAAGTAACTTGGGGTTAAGTCACACAGCTAGTAAGCGTTATGTGTCTAAGGCCAGATTTGAGCTCAGGTCCTCCTAATTCCAGGGCTGGTGCTAGGTGCCCAACCTGGCACAATTTCTTGAACCTGTGTCACAGAACTTCAGAGTTGAAAAGGCCATCTAGTCTAACTTATAGCCATCTCCTTAAAAAGAATCCTCCCACCCAAATCTGACAAGTAGTCATTCAGCTTTTTCTTGAAGACTTCCAATTGAGGAGGAAAGCACTATTTCCCCAGAAAGCCCATTACGCACTGAGCAGAGCTCTAATTATTAGGAAGTTTCCCCTGACATGCCTAAGTTTGCCTCTGCCAGGCTATTTATTGCTTTCAGAGGTCTCCTGTGTTGAATTTTAAGATGGGTCAGCCCCTACTAGAGGGCCCATAAGCACTGACATTGTAACAGAGAACCATTTTGCCCATCACATTATATGCCATTTGTAAAACGGCACCTCACATTAGGACATTATTGATGAGGAGGTAGCCAGAGGTAGCCAGTACAAATGTTATTTCTGTTAGATAGATGGGGAAATTTAGGCCCAGAGAAACTGTGAACTGCTGACTTCCGCATAGCTAATAGGTGGCAGAGCAGGACTTGAACTAATGTCTTCTAAACCTGCCACTGGGAGACTGCTACAAGAAGGGGCAAATTCTCACCTCTTCATATAATATTTTCACTAGGTAAGGAGCATGAAATATTAAGTAGTCACAAAAATATTTTTCAAAACCCTTCCATTTCTATGGTTACCACTATGATTAAAAATAGAACAAAGACATAAAAAGAGAAAGAACAAGGTAGAGAAAAATAATTCCCTTATGAAAAACTGATCCTAAGGCTACCAAAAAGAATGGGGATTCAGGGACATAAAATGATGAAATAATATTGCAAATTTTTCTAGTAATCAAGAATTAACTGTTCCATCAGCCTCTTCTTGCATTCATTCCCAGAAAACTCTTCTGAGGCAAAAAAAAAAATAGTACAGATCAATTTGTTCTGGTTACAAAGAAAGCATAGACTATACACTGACATATTCTAAAGTTAGTGGCAGTTATGTTACTTATTTTTAAAATTTATTTTATTTTAAATTTATGAAATAAGCATTTCCATAGCATAGCAGAATAAAAAATATGATTACATATGAAACTGCAAATATATTAATTATGGAAATAGTATCCATAGAAACGAGAAGGAGAAGAGTTTTGTGATGAGGATTCTAGAGATGGTAACACCAAGAAACCCAATAGACAATGAAGTTTTAGGATGCTGCTTCACCCCAGCTTGAATTTTTGGTGTCAGTTCCAGCATTAGAGAGAGGAGCCAGAACATAATTTTTATTTTATCCTCTAACTTTTTACTAGAAAAAAAACACTTTAAAGTTTTCTTTGAAAATCCTTATGACTTTGTCTTTGAAGGAAATTCACGAAATTTTTTTATGCACCAAGTGGACAATTTATTCACACTTTTAATGATGTAAAATATCAAGTCTGTTCTATTTTGGTCAAAAAAAGCCTTCAAGTTTAGCGCAGTTCATTTTATTGAGGAATTTTTTAAAAAGTGAAATGTATACTTATGTAACCCAGGGCTATTATTAAAGTTTAATTTTCCCTTTTACCTCAGGGAAGTATGGGACAGACACCCTGGACTGTTACTGATTTCTACATTTTTTTCTCGTGTTCCATGAGGGAATAGATCAAGAGAAATTTAGGGACTACTGAAAAGTTCCTTAGGCACCTAGGTTCTAAACTACGATGGGCAAGGGATAGGTCTTAGGGAGTATGAGAGTGCCATCTGAATCAAAGGAGAGTCAGTGGACTATTGCTGCTCGTGAGAGCACAATCCTACTCTCATTAGGGCTTGAAGGTGTCCCTGGGTTTTGAAGTCTATTCAAATATTACTCAGTCCTAATTCTCATCATGACTTGTTGATCTCTATAGATTCTTGAAGTCTATCCTAGTAAGACTTACTCCTACTCTCACCAGGGCTTGTAGGTTTCCCTTAGGTGTTGAAGTCACTCTTAGTAAGACTTTGACTCTAGCAAATGCTACCCAGCTTAAAAGACTTTGAGCCTGAGTATAGTGAGAGTATTTGTGTGTTAGCCAGAGACCAGATTAAGTTCAGAGAAGCTTGTCACTTCCTTGGCTACAAAGTGATGGATATTTTAGCCATGAAAGGTCTTCAGTGACATTATTTCAGTTATATAAGACTTGTAATCTATGTTGGTGGAGAGAATATCCCCCACCAGTAAAGTTACAGGTTGCTGAAGTATGGATATATTTGTTTTTTAAGTAGGTCACATCTTTACTACGGAATAAAGAAAAACAACAACATTTTGGTAGCTCAATAGAAATGTTATATTTTTTTCTCTAAATAAGCTTATGTGCTTAGTTTCCATAAAGAATATTTTCTGCCAGTGCTGCTTTAAAATCGCCTCACACTTTCTGAAGAAGTTCCAAGTATGCCATAGTGTACACACTGTCAGATGAATGAATTCGAGTTCAGCCAAGATTCTGGCAGCAGTAGAAAGTCACTGGAAAAACTGTCAATGTGAATTTGAATTTGCTCCAAATGTATTTTTGCTGCAGCTCAAGGCTCTAAAATGAAAAATGTAATTCCCTACTAGCCTTTTCTTCCTGATCAGTCTAATTGATTTGCATATTGTAGTAGTTGGATGATGTGAGACATACCAGGAAGGCTGGCCTGCCATGAAATCTCTTGTGTACGTGTGCCAGATGCTACAGACCTTTGCGGATATATTCCTTGGTGGTGGTGGGGTTCCTACAGTTTCCTTTCAAACAAAATACTCCAACGAGAGGTGGAAATGAGGGCCCAAACACCTTAGTGTGACTGAAATTATCAGAAAGAAACAGAGGAAGGACACCTAATGAATAAGCTTTTACCTGCATCACAATTTTCCCTCAAAGTGACCCGGGTAACCTGCATGTAGAGGACAGAGCGGCCAACAATAACCACTACGGAAATTTTCCTCTTTCTGTGCTGATGCAGAAGTCAGATTTAGCAGTTTCTGTCCCATGAGGATTGAAATAATTCATATTTCTCACTCAGTCTAGGGCAGAGCTGTCAAACTCACAGCCTAAGGGCACATGCTACCCATCATACTCCCAAATGCAACTGAAGCAGACTAAAATGTAATTGGGAAATGTTTAACAACACAAATAAAAATACAATAAAACATGGATGTCACTTTGTGGTTTCCTAAGTCAACAAAATCCTGAAGACATTCTCACATATGGTTTACATGGTTTATATATGGTTTAGCGGCCTCCATTTCAGTTGCAGTTTGACACCACTGATCTAGGATATTTCTCAGGAAAACAAAACAAAACATTGTTCATTGAATGAGGCCTTCTTTTGCCTTCAATTAACATAGAGCATATTTCAGCCATCAGCCACTTGTTTGGTTCATTGAAGTCAATTTTATAATTGCACGCATTTATGTAAACATATGATTCAAATGTTTCAAAGACTTTTCTTCCCTTTCTAATGCTAGAAAAATTTTACATTTCACATACAGTCAGAATAATTGGTTCAATATATTTGGGAAGAAGCTGACGAATTATAAAAGCATGATTGAAAACCTCCTACCTTCCCAATCATAAAGGATTGTGACTGGTTCCTACCTGTATTGTAGTGTTTGGTGCAGTACCGTAAATCTTTCTCTTCTTTTAAAACAAACTGGGGCAAAGTGAGTCCCTCTGCTACTTGTACAGGTGCCTCATCTTGCCATTGAAAGATGAGATCATTCATGGTATATCCAACTAGGCAAAAGATAATCAAAACCACTCAGGCTGTAAAGCACCATTTCAAGCAATGCACTTAATACCAAGAACAGTTATACAAATAAAAATCAGTAAAGGGAAAAAAAAAAACCCAAACAAACCGGACTTCTTTGATCAGTCACATGAGAATGCTGAGTACTTCCTAATTCAGTCTCACTGACATCTATCCAGACAGAACACTTTATAAGGAAATAAAAAATTAAGAAAACTTAAATTTCACTAAATTTTCTACTAAAATAAGGAAAAGATAGGAGTTTCTATTTGTTAGAGCCTACACAGATGCATATGTGGAAAAGTGAACCTCAGAAATACTTTAAAGATACATATGCACAGAAAGAAACACAGAAAAAGCTTTTCTCAAGTGATGAAGTTTTCCTTAATTCTTTGTCCACAAAGATTTCCCTCCCACCCTAGGACCTCTTGGAGAGTTTTGCTTTGACATTTAAGATGTACCAATCACTTGTGATCATTATATATTTAAAGCTGGAAATCTTAGAGGTCATCTTATCCCAGCTCCTTATTGTGCAGGATAGGAAACTGAGACCTTGAGAGGATAAATGAATTGCCCAAAGTTACACAGATAGTAAGTGGAAGAGCCAGGATTTGAATCCAGGACCCTTGATTCCAAATCAATCATTCTTTCCATTGTGTCACAGTACTACCTCGTATATTATTCTGGTTTTGCATCTTGTCCCCCTATTACATTATTACGTATGATTCACGAGGGTAGGGACCTCATGTTATCTAAAATTCTACATCTTCCCCAAATCTGAATATAGCACCTGGCACAAAGTAGGCACATAATGAATATCTGCTGAACTTGTTCAATTTAAACTTGCTTAGAAGATGAAACTCTTGTTTATAAAAGTTAATATAAAAGTGAGTTAAGTAAGTAATCAGCTCATTTGCTGAATTGCATATCTGTAATGATGGGTGTTACACATGCAGCATCCTTAAAAGTCTAACTTCTGGCTTGTGTCAGGATCTGTCTAATGCAGAGACTAGCACACACACAGGCAAAAATCTGCTCTCACAATACCTGAGGTAGTAGCACCAGTGGTTGAACTGGCTACTTTTTTTTTTAACAACCTGAACTTGATCTCCTGATAATGGTGAAAATTTACATTACTGAAATGCAAACAGTGATGCCTGTTATTGGATAAGCTTTTCTCTAAAGCCATTGAATTTTCTTCCCTTTGGTACTAAATCTGAGGATGACTTTCTCATTCGATAACTTCTTACTGAAGAGTGAGTGGATTGCTTCAAGGATTTAAAAGTAATAAAAGCAGGTACTGATCTTTAGTCAGCCAAGTCACACTCTGTACTCTCCAATTTCTGCAGCTGCTGCAGAGGTAAACAGCTGAGTTTCTGCCCAGCTCCAAATGAAAAAATAAGGGAGGAGAATCTCAGAAACAGCAGAAATCCTTAAGCCTTATCATTCCACACTCCAAGTTTATTTCATAAGCCTTCCATCAAACTTTCTAAGATATTTTCAGGGACGAAAAGTCCTATCTAGTTTTTAAGCTAAATTGTTTCTCAAATTCACTGCTCTATCAAATAGTTATGCACACAGTCACCCATCTATGACCTTTGTATGAGCAGACTGTTATTAAATCATGTTATATAGAGATTTGGGAGTGGTAAATACATCACTTCATGATTTACAATTTACAAATACAACAAAAACAAAGCATCAGTTAACAACATTTACTGAGGTCTCCTTTGTGCAGAGTGTTATAGAATAAGCATTAAAGGACCAAGGGCTAAACAACTGTTGTTCAGTTGTTTCAGTCTTCAGTCATGTCCAATTCTTTGTAACCCCGTTTGGGGTTTTCTTGGCAATAATACTAGAGTGGTTTGCCATTTCCTTCTCCAGCTCATTTTACAGATGAGGAACTGAAGCAAATAGGGTTAAAGGGATATGCCCAAGGCTCACACAGCAACTGAGTATGTGAGCCTGGATTTGAACCCGTGAAGATAAACCCAGGCCTGGTGCTCTATCCACTGTGCTACATAGCTGCCCCTGGGATAAATAATATTGTACTTTAATCAGCTTAAATTCTTTATGAGTTTTGATAAATCAATGAAGACTTAATAAACAATTACTATATAAGAGGCACTATGTTAGAGGATAGGGATGGAAAGACAATACATGGAACAGTTACTACTCTCAAGTAGCTTCTTAGCTGGGGTGGAGGGTCAACATGGGCTTATATAAGTATATGAAAAACAAATATAAAGAGAATAACTATAAATAAATCCAAAGCAGTTAAATACAACTTGCTAACAGACAGCACTTTAGCTAGTTGAGAAGGGCACTAATAGTTAAGGAAATCAGGAATTTTTTTTTTAAACATATTACTTCCATTCAAAAAGTTTTAAGAGGGTCCCAGCTGTTTTTCATAATTTCTGTTGGCAGTATTCTAGGTAAAGTTGCACCAATTGGTGAGAACATTTTGCTAATGACAGCAAGGTTGTAGGTTTAATCACTATAGAAACCAGCTGGATGTAGAGAGGGGAAAAACTCCTTTCCATAGATGTAGCCATGTAAAATGCATGGCCCCAGTACAGCTAATTACCAGGACAGACTGTGAATAAATGGCTTGGTGTGAACCATTACTACTGCTAGAAAAACAGTTCTAAGTACTTCTCAGGTACTAGTGGGCAGTTGTGTCATATTTGTCTACAAAAGGCAGACTTTAGAAAAATTATATCACACACATAAAACCAAAAAGAAAAGCAGTTATTTCATGTTATCTAGGTTCAGTTTTGATAAAAAAAAAAAGCACAAGACCCAGATGAAACCACTCCACCCCATATAAGTTGATTAAATTTCCCTTTTCATGACTGTTCTCTCCTATTGGATTGCACTGTCCTATTACAGCATATTGCAATATGAAGTAGGTGCTTAATAAAGGCTTATTTACTGACAATCCCTATCACTTCACTGCTAAATTTCTAAGGTCCTTATATTCCTTATCTCATCTTAAAATCTTTTGACGGTTTTCATAATTTCAAGACAAATTTTGTGTAGGAATTTGCTGGTGGTGATATGCCTAACTTACAGAGTTTTGAAAATGTAATTGGAGTCATCTAATCAGACATGTCATGGTGCAATACTAATGCTTATTTGGGGGGAGAATATAGCGACAAGTCTTCCCAATGGGGTGAGGAAAGGGAATAAGCATTTATTAAGCACTTGCTATGTACCAAACACTGTGCTGAGCACTTTGCAAATATCTCCTTTGATCTTCATGACAACCCTGGAAGGCAGGTACTATTATTATTATCTCCATTTTATAGTTGAGGAAACTATGTCAGGATATAATGACTTATGCCAATGACTGATATCAATCAGGATTATAGGAGAGGAACTACTTTGACCTCAAGGTGATCCCAGTTATGGACCAAAGGACTCCTCAGTCACATGCTGCTGAAGGGTCTTTGTGGCTAATACAGTGTGCAAACTTATTCTGGTTCTCTTTTAGGTAACTCTTCCCTATGAAATTCTAGGATTGGCTGTACATGCAGGAAGGATGAACATTAAAAATGATTAGGGCCTGGTTGTATCAAGGGGGTAGGAGAGAGTTACTAAAGGGAAAATATGGAAGCATTTTATCACTCTTCAAACTGAGAGGACAGAGAAGTCATGGAACGTCTTACAGTGGATTCAATGGAACTATAAGCCCTGCTTCCTTCAGATTTATGAGATCCACATAGGTGATAAAATTTTTTAAGACATATGGTTGGAAGACAGCCTCTATATGATTCCATGACTTTATGGCATGTGATATAGGAAAACCGCAAAAGGAAAGTGGTTTGAAGCTAAGATCTTCATTTGCTAAGCTTGAAGCTAAGAGCTTCAAGAGGCTATGATTATTAGAGGTTGCCTTGTCAGACAAGAATATTCTGTTTCTCCAACCTGGAACCATAACTAGAAATTGCATTGTAAGATGCATTAAAGGTGTTCTTAGATTGTCTTTTGAAAACAAATTCAGTTGTTGGTGAGGTTACCTTGAGGAGATACTTGGGACCTCAGGATACCACCAGGTCAAGAAGAAGGCAGAGGCTATGGGACACCAGTTCCATGAGTAGAGATCCTTCGACAATGCAAAGATACAGCCAAAGCCTCCCACTCCAGGAAAGAGAGAGTAAGGCTTCCTAGGCCTGAGAAGAGTTTACTTGGGTTGTTGGCAATGGAAACAGCGGATGAGAAAACTAGTCATTTCTAGAGTCGTACTCAAAGAAAATTAGTTTGGTAGTGGTGCAGTTGATAGAGTGCCAGGCCTGAAGTCAGAGAGATTCATGTTCAGACACTTATTAGTTGTATGGAGAAATCACTTAACTCTGTCTCAATTTCCTTATCTGTAAAATGAGCTGGAGAAGAAAGTGGCAAACCACTTCATACCTTTGCCAAGAAAACCCTAAAGGTGGCATGAATAGATGGATAGGACTGAACACAACTGAACAAGCAGTATGTACAAGGAATGGAGCAGTGAGATACTTGAGGCAGGGAGACTAATCAAAAGGCTGTTGCAATAATCTGGGTAAGAGGTAATGAGGGCATTAACTGATGTGGGGAGTCGTACAAGTCACAGGAAGGAATCAGATGGGATGATCTGTGGCAAGACTGGCAACTGGTTAGATATGTGGGATGAAGGACAGTGAAGAGTCTGGGATTATGCCAAGGCAATGAATGTAGGAAACAAGAAGGAGAATGGTATTTTAAACAGAAATAAGGATATTTAGAAAAGAGAAGGAGTTAGTGAAGGAAAGATAATGAATTCAGTTTTAGACACATCAAGTTCTCTAAAAGAAGTTGTCTAAAAGTGGCACCAAGAGATGATATGTAAAGGAACAAGTTAATTTCTGTGGAGCTGACCTTGTTGGAGGCAACCCAAAAATTTCCAGCCTTCTCCCTTAATAACTTACGGATAACTTGTAAATTTACCTAAATCCTCCCAGAACCTTGCCCAGTG